ACCAATGGCCCGGCTTTGTGCCTTTCTTCTTTCAGGTGATTCACGTGTTGGACATGACGTCGGCCCAGCTGCACTCTTTGATTTTGGGTGCTGAGGAGAGTTTACACTCCTTGCAGCTTCGCCTGGAGACGCACACTCAGACACACGTCTCCCCGCTGAGTCAAGAGCTGCTGCTGGAGACGGGGATCTCCCTCGACCCACGCAGACCGCCTGCCCACTGTCTGCCAGAGGGATTGGTATATGACACACACACACGCACACACTCACACACACACACACACACACACAAAACCGAGTCACAAGTAAATAAGCAAAAGATTTTGTGAATTATTATTTTCATTGAGAAGTTTTGTCTGGATTATATTGGTAACTAGTTTTTTTTAGCAGTTTCTTTCCCCTTCATAGTTGAACATTACATTTAAATGAACATTTGGTCCCCAAATATGTCTTCAGGAGAGTAAGTGTAGATTAGGTAAATTATGTAATACCTGAAGAAAATACCTGTTTGACTGTATGTTAGCGGACTGTGTGATCGAGTGTATGACGGTTGTCCGCTACCAGCCCGTTTGCTCTCTCTGGAAGAAAATGTTTCAGCAAGTCTTGACCTTAACTTGAGTTTTCACTGTGACTTTGGTTTGCTTTCAGCGGGGCTGGGACAGCTCCCTAGTCTTCCTGTTCGATAAGAGCCTGACCAAGTACTCTGGACCGCTGACCGCCAGGCCTCTGCCAGACAGTGTCAACTTTATAGGTGAGGTATAAAACTGTCTAACGAGCTGTAGTTATGCTGTCACATTTACTCTTGTCACTTTTGTGAGTGACGGTGCGGCTACAGCGGGTTGTCCTGTAGCCAAAAGGTTTGCAGTTTAATCCCGGTTTCAAGGATTATTACATGACGAAGGTCTACTTCATGTACAGTTTCTGGTCTGCGTGCAGAATACAAACACTTCAGTTCAACTTAAGTTTAAGCAGCTTTTTAAACTGTTGTCCGATCAACGTGTTGTCTCAGTCAGGGAGACCAAGACGCAGCTCCCCCTGTCTGCGCTGAGAAAAGTGTGGGGGGAGGCAGTCAGCTACATCTGCGGACTGAAGGAGGACTACATTCGTCTGTACCAGGGACAGAGGGCGGCCATGTAAGTGCCTGAAACCCACCCGCGCACACATGCATGCACCCACACAATAAAGCAGCCACTTCCCGTGTGTGTTTGTGTATGTGTAGGCTGAGCCTGCTGCGCTACAACACCAACTTAACGCGGTACAAGAACCTGCTGTTCTCCCAGTCGCAGCAGCTACGAGCCAAACTGGCTATTTTTAAGACCAGCATCCAGAATGACCTTGAGCAGTACACCAGGCAGAGACACGTTGGCATCTGTGAGTGGATGTTGATCTCCTGCTGGGACACCATTGAAAGTGATGTAATGAAGCCTTTAGTGAACTCTCTTGTGTTTTTCTGAAGCTTCAGAGAAAATGTTGAGAACCTGGCAGGAAAATGAAGAGAAGGCCGATGGGTTCTCGAAGGTAAGGAGGTTATTACTTATTAGAGGTTGTAAACTTACTTGCAGTTATTTAAAAACAAGTACATGCTAAGAGTGCTATCTGCTGCAGGTTGCAGAGGTCGGGTATCTGGATGAGGAGATAGTGGCTCTGCATTCGGAGATTGTGGAGTTGCAGAGGAGTCCATTTGCGAGGAGACAAGGCGATGTAATGGAACAGCTGTGAGTATCTCTCTGTTGTAGTTGCATTCTTATAATTTCTACGAGTTCAGATTTTTAAGTCTAAATTATAAGACAACATTCGGGTGCCCATCTTCAAAATACAGAGAACAAACTGTTATTAAATCAGAATGCTGAAACATTCTGACCCTTTGCGTCCTTTTCAGTGAGGAAAAGGCTATTGAACTCTACAAGCAACTGAAAGCTAAATGCAAAAGTAAGTACAAATCATTACACATTTAAAATAATTAAAGTTGTTAGGACTCCTGCTTTTTGTTCATCACTGAGGATACAATTTAACTGTATTAGAAATAAATCATTTTTCTGTGCAAAGCAACGTGTTTAAATATTAAAAAATATGAAACTTAGTCTGTCTTAGTCTCAAAATTACAACACATTTATTTTGGAATATTCCAACGACAAAATACAAGGTGCAGGGAACTTGGAGGTGAGTAAACGCCATTTCCAAAATCCCAGAGGCGCATGGAGGTGCGCACGTGGTTTTGTCCTCCACTCCAGCCCTGGTTGATAGAACATGGATGATCATAGACGTGTGTGCTCGTACAGGTCCTGACCCTCCACACGGCTACAGCGACAGCTCGGACATGGTGAGGATGATACTCCAAACCGTACAGAACCAGGACAGAGTACTTAAGGACTTGTACACTCACCTGAGGTAAGTTATCCAGTTGTCTAAACAGACACCCACGAGACATTGTTTAACAGTTCCTTGTTGTGTCTTTTGGGAGTTTTCTTCATCTTTATTTTTTATTTTTTCCCTCTAGTACAATTCTTGTGTGTAAGCAACGCATCGTTGATTTGTTCCCTAAGTTGGAGAGGGCGGTAGAGAACATAAAAACTGCAGAAGCTGCAGTGATGCAGATGCAAATGAAGAGACAGAAAGAGTTCTGGTACCTCCTCAAGATTGCCTGTGTGAGTTTTTGACAACATTTTTTTTTTTTAACGGAAAATGTGTTTGTGAAGCTCTGCAATGCGGTATTAAATGTATATAACAAATTCAACTGTAGCTAATGGCAATTGTGTGTTTAGGCCCAGAATAATACTCCAACACAGTCACTGATGCAACAACCCACCTACTGGTAAGTGACAAGCATACATCAAAGTTGTATCTGTAAAACACTGAAGCTGTTTTCTCTGTACACGTTTACTGATCTTTTGAAACCGGCTGCTGGGTTTAAATCACAAATCTGCCAATTTGGGGAAAAACTGTAACATGGAGCCACAGAATCCTGAAAGATAAACATTGCATTCCAACTTGAAGACTTTTTAATTTATTTTTTAAGTGCATACTCTAGGTCAGAGGAACATTCTCAACTTCTCAAATTTATTTAATGAAAATATGGTGCAGTTTGAACCTGAGATAGTATGGAGACTGAATACGTATGCCAACACAAAACAAGTTATTTTCCCAGGCAAAGGCCCGCGACCCATTAAAAACGGGTCCGCGACCCTCCAGTTGAGAATCACTGCTCTAGGTGACCTTACACAGTACATACTGGTGCATGCGGAATGTATTCATTTGGGACGTACGACTTTGTCATAAGAATGCCTCTTGAACTGTGACCTTCCTGCTTGTATGTCAGCTCTGTAGCCGATTATGGGTCTGAATAGCAAGAAAGACACACAGGCTTTCTTACTGCAAAATGCTGCCGGATGCAGAGCGACACCGTGGTCTTTTTGGCAGTAAAAGAACACTAATACACCTTTTGTTTTCTTTTTCAGTGAAACAGTTAGTCAGTTACTGGATGAGAATCAGCGTTATCTGAGTCAACTAACCTCTCTGGTGCAGGACGCCACCCAGGAGATGGAGCACAGTATCATGGTATGCTATGCAAGAGGGACCCAGTGTGTGCTCATGCATGTAAACACATCCTTTAATCAACTCCTGGTTGACTATTTATGAGTGACGGGAAATTCTTCATCAAACCTTAAATAAGCACCTTTAGCCGATCATGCAGGTTTGATGTTGAGGTTTATGTTGTGAGGTTGGAAAATGGCATGAGAATGTCCAGGAGATGATAGATGGTGTGCTAGTGTTTGGAAGTAGAGTATTAACGCATTTGTTTGTTCTCTCTCCAGGATCAGGACTGGGGATGGACTAAGTACGGAGCGGCAAAAGCCAAACCCAACAATCTGTAGAAACTGACTCGGTAATAAGAGTTAGAGACAGAAACAAGTGCCTTTATCAGAGTTGCACTTTCGCAAAGATTGTCAAAGATTATTTTTAATTCCACATTCTGTGATTTTTTTGTAATGCCATAATACAACGTGTGCAACAGCATGCTATGGTATGATATTCATGTTTTAACTTAAATGTATATTGTTGAGTTCTCAGCTGTAACCAAGACTTATTTATTTTACTTGTAATATTGATTTGAGTTAAACATTGCTGCTGAAAAAACTGCATGTTGGAATGTGAATAAAATCACAATTGTATGGCACATACCATGTTTAGTCTTTTCTCTGCCAGTGTTAAGCTTTTTAAAGTATTCTTAGTATTATTATAGTCACTCCTGGGACCAGACCACTGCCTGCAAACATACAGGAAATGACTTGTTTTTAAGACCCTGCATTGAACATCCTCTTGGGAGAAAGTGAAATTAAAACCACTAGGACAAGAAAAACAACAGTAACATGATTCATATAATGTAAATTAAACGCCAAAATCCAAGTAACGGACATAAGTAAATGTAGTGCAGTTAGTCAAGTAAGTACTTTGTAAGTACTCAAATATTATATTTAATCTTAAATCTTACATGATTCATTTAAGGAGGAAGAACATCAGCATACAATAATGTCATCTGTGGAAGATCGCTTTGTAACAATGTAAAATCAACAGCGTATGCAAAGCAATACCCTATTTTGTCATAATATCTTATAAGAAATATCTAGAATTTTGCATCGGTAATTTCACCACCAATTGATTTATTATCTATATTATCCTATATTCAGAATCATTAACCTAACAATATAATGGAAATATGTTTTACAGAAGATAACAAAATAAAATGAGTCAATTAAAGACATGTGCCATTTTAATACTTCCTGCCTTTTTAAATAATATAACGTGTCATAAAACATAACAATTTGAAGTCCACTATAGGTTGATAGTATGGCTGAATTGAAGTTCTCATGACCCCACCGCCATCTAAATATGTATTACGTACGTGTAATGTATTTATAATAAACACATTGTTGAACTAAATTAACGGAACTTATATTTCCGACAGCACGTGAAGGCAGCGTAACGTGGTGTGTGAACACGGGAGCGTGACCTGTGAGAGGCGGGGCGAGGGGGGATGGGACGTTGAATGATTAGACCAACGAGGAATACGACTCGATACAGTGGCAATTGTATTCATCATAAACCACCAATTTACTATTACGTTTACGTATTGACAATTTTATTCCAGCGTTGTGCCAGGTGAGTTAATTCGTTTGGTTTACGCGAGCAGCCTAGGAAGCTAATGTTACTACCTCACGCTAGCTGCAACCAACTGACGGAGCCCTGAACCCAGCCCATAATGAGAGCTATCGTTGCCTAGCTAACGTTAGCTCACCCGGCTAGCTAACGTAACGTCACACACACCCAACCTGTGTCAGACTCTGCTACTGCTGAGATAAATTAAACTAGACTTCCAGTTTGATGGTTTTATCGAAGGAGATGTGTCTGCGTTGCAAGCACGTTACTTCGTGTGTTGACAGAGGAACTATTTAACTCTACTAGCCTCCTACGAGCACCCTATGTGCTAGCTAACGTATGCTAACCAGGAACCGTTGCGTCAACGTTGACTGTTAAATATAAAACTTTCTGCTTCAATAAAGTACTTATTGTAATTGGGCTGCTGTTGATTCTTGCATTGCTCTGTTTTGACATCGTTTAAGGGATCACTTTAGGGTAAACACTCGCTATCACACACACGCACACTATAAACCTGCTGCAGAAGCGTCAAGTAACGTCAAGTTACTTTCGGGTTGGGTTCTTTTGACGCTATTGAGCCGGGTAACCTTACGAGGCACTTTTCCTTGCAATTCTAGCAAAGATGCAGTATACATATATGCAGTTGCAAAGGTTGTTAAACTAAGTGCCGTGGAAATTCTTTTATATTACATTTTCTGCCCAGTTTCTCTTTTTTTTGTTTTATCTTGTGTGCACATAATAGTTCAGGATAGACTCTACCTCCCAATATGCAAAACAATTCCACAGCTACACAACGTCTAAGACCAGAAAGTTCTGAGCATACAATCGATAAACGCTGCAGAGCCGAACATCATAACTTTCCTGGAAGTAGGAAACTGACTGTTCTGACCTTCACAATTAAAGTGAAGGTCAGAACACACAAAAGTGCCCTCATGTTTTATACATTTTTCAGTGTTTTTTTTGTTCTGCATGTAGGTAAGTACCAGCAAGGATGACGATGCCGCACGTGGGGGCAATATTTGGAGCAATAGCAGGAGTGATGGCCATCATGTTGCACTCCTCCATTCACAAGATCGAAGAAGGACACCTTGCTGTCTACTACAGGTATCCAAACACTTCAGTGACTCCTGCAGAGACTCGTTGGTCCCTGCAGGAAGGTTATACTTAACTTCACAACTATAATATATATATATACGTGATACGTGATTAATCTAATGCTAAGAAGTCAGACCAAATAATGTGTTTGTATTTGTTTTAGAGGTGGGGCACTGCTGACTTACCCCAATGGTCCTGGATATCACATTATGCTGCCTTTCATTACCACATTCAGATCAGTGCAGGTAAACTTATCTTTCAGCCATGGAACTTGGCCTTTTAGCTGAGGCTTGTGCAATGTAAGAGTCGACCGGAAGCTGCTGAGCCATAAAAAACAAAGTGGGATCTTCTATAAATAAATCAGCTGCAGCATGCAAACAGTTACCATTTAACCACGGCTGCAGTGGCTTGATTTTACACCAAGATACAAGTTTGTTGGGCTTCTAAAGATGCAAGGAATTGAATTCCTTGAATTTGGCAAACTAATTATTAATAGTAACATTGTTTTAAGCCACTGAGATATTTTGGAGCAATCATGTTTTCTGCTAAAATAATATAGTAACTAAAATAATATTGAGTTTATAGCCTTGTTCATTTATTTATATCCTCATCTGCTGTGACCAGCACAACAGCATTGGTTTTGTTTTTTATTAATTGAAAAACAAATTAAATCCTTGCTCCCCTTTGTCTGCGTGAAAGGTGAAAATCCAGAATATAATAATATTGGTCATACTACAAATAAATCCATAATAACGTATGTATTATTGACACAGCTTAATTTATAACAAGTATGTACTACTTGTTATTGACATATAACTGTTAAATCCTTCCACAGAAGTTTATAAATGGCATATTGTTGGAGAATCATTTATTATCAGATCATGTGATTGTTCACATTTTTGTGTTTTAGACCACTCTCCAAACTGATGAGATCAAAAATGTGCCTTGTGGCACAAGGTAAGACTGACCTCATTGATGCATGTTAAGAAATTGATCAAAGCATGAAAATAATGATCTATTAATCATCAATAATTCAATAATTTCTTTTTCTTTTCTTTTCACAGTGGTGGTGTGATGATCTATTTCGACAGAATAGAAGTTGTGAACATGCTCGTCCCTTTAGCAGGTGCAATAAGTTCCATTGTTTTCTTTGCAAAACTCCTTATTTGATGTACGTGTTGACGCTGCCCGCTCTCTGGCATCACAACATCAGTTGCCTTTGTTTGTCTATTTGCAGTGGTGGACATTGTCAGGAACTACACAGCTGACTATGACAAAACTCTAATATTCAACAAGATTCACCATGAACTCAATCAGTTCTGCAGTGTACACACACTGCAGGAGGTCTACATTGACTTATTTGGTAAGAACCCTTTTACTACTGTGGCAACACATTCCCTTTGAATAGCACAATCAAGTTTAAATCTATGCAATAAAACGGCGGCAGTATTTCATTTTAATGCAGGGAACTCGTGCCATGTGTCCTGTTTTTAAAATCCTGAACCGTTGTGTATTTAAGTAATCTTTTGTCTTATAGATATTATAGATGAGAACCTGAAGTTGGCATTGCAGAAAGATCTTACTGTTATGGCACCTGGACTTACAATACAGGTATTTAAACACACACACACACAATCATAACTCGAGGGACTTTGTTTCATAGTTTAATAAGCCTTAAGGAAGTTGAAGAAAGAAGTAGCAGGGTTTGGTTATCAGTAAAAACGATTGCTGCTCTTAATCGCAGTTAAAGGAAGAAGGTAAACTGAGACAGTCTCCAAACGAGACGAGGCAATTGCTCAGGTGATGATGAGACGAACACGTTTGGTCCCGACTGGCTTTCTACAGATATTTCTTACATGCAAAAAACGTAATATAATTCTGCTTTCAAAGGCAACCGTAAGTTGCCGTTTAGAAGCAGTCAGGCCGGGTAGCCACATAATGTGGGCTGTGAAGAAAACAAAAAGTAACAGACTTCAGCCACTGGCGATGAAAGAACAATTGGCATGCGGAAGAGAATCAATTTAGCATTTCCACATTGTGACATGACAACCTAAACAAACCTGAAGGGTGAATTTAGATTTTCTCTCCTGTTTTCCTCGGCGCCGCTTCAACATCGTGATGAAGGCGGTCCGTGTTACCAAGCCAAAGATCCCCGAATCGATCAGGAGGAACTTTGAACTGATGTGAGTTTATAAATCTGTACTTGGGAGCGTAAGCTCTCCATTCCTCCCCTGTCGCCCACCCACTCGGGTCAAGTAAGACAACACGGAAAGTGAGGTGTGTGCGTTGTGTTTGCAGGGAGGCAGAGAAGACTCGTCTGTTGGTAACAGCTCAGACTCAGAGGGTGGTGGAGAAGGAAGCCGAGACTGAAAGAAAGAGGGCCGTCATTGGTGAGTGACGCTGTTTTCACTGTAAATCAGCCCGCTAGGTTTGCAATCACATGACAAGCGTTACAATTTGAGCGGTTTCCCCCTTGTGTACATGTGTTGAAGCCCCCTCCTTGTTCTGTCCCACAGAGGCTCAGAAAGTGGCCCAGGTAGCTGAGATCCATTTCCAACAGAAGGTGATGGAGAAAGAGACGGAGAGGAAGATCTCTGCAATCGAGGGTCAGCCTTCCGGCTTTCACTTTCTCCCCTCTGAGATGGATTTGTGTATTCCTGTTTGTGGTGGCGACTGGTAAACTAGTCCGTCATGTGTCTCATTCAACACTGTCTCTTTGTTTCAGATTTCGCCTTCTTGGCGAGGGAGAAGGCCCGAGCGGATGCCGAGTATTACAGCGCTGAAAAGTTTGCCGAAGCCAACAGGGTAAAAAGAAAAATGCCATTGAGATCATTTCATATGTAAACACAGATATGACATCTAATCTAAATGGAGATAAAGTTACAACACCTGGAAGTATATTTGTGGAAGCTACAACAGGGTTATTGTAATTGTATAATTGTAAGAATATTGTAATAACATAATTTCAGGCTTCTGGCCCGGCTGTACGTTGAATGAGCTGTGATAACAACCCAGTCACACGCATTATGTTGTCTTTCCTCTAAAATATCTTTACAGGTGAAGTTGACCCCGGAGTACCTGGAGCTGATGAAGTACCAGGCCATAGCAGCTAACAGTAAGATCTACTTTGGCCAGGACATCCCCAACATGTTTGTAGATGGAAGCAACAGCCCCCCCAAGCCGCCGCGCTCCCTTCACTCCCCCAATGCTCAAGCAGACCTGCTAAAGATGAAGCCGGAGGGGCAGTGAGTCCACAGCTCTTCCTCTGCAGAGGACAGGAGAACCTGAGGAAGACTTGTGTTGGCTGAGGTGGGGAGCACTGAACTGAAGAGGGGAGGGGGGGGGGGGGGGCTTTTAGCTAGTTTGTTGAACAACACACTTCAGGCAAAGACAACTTGTACAAATGTAAGCAGAAGTGAGAGCCGAGGGAGGCGAGATAAAGGGATTTTTTGTTTTGTTTTTGTTTTACCTTCCACTCCTTTGGGAAGTCAGGTTTTTAGGAAGACGAGTGATGCCATAGTTTGAAAAGCATAATAAATGCTTCTGCTTGGAAAGGCTACAGCACGTAGTTGACCTAATGTACACGTGCTTGCAATTCACTCTGTTGTCCGCAAGACAAGTCATTTTTGATGAAAGGCTTTTTGAGGATTCATTTCAGGCTAACAGGTAACGCTAATTAATTAAATGCGGGTTTGTGTATGTGTGTATTGTGGGTAAACCATCTCTGTGCCATCTTCTATTACACTAAAATCACTAGTTGGCTCTTCTCTCTCAACATGAATGAATGCGAGGACTGGACCATCACACCTCATGTCTAACGCTGCTTGTGGATGACCTTCAAACAGGACCTTTAGTTGGCTGAAATCCTACAGAAATGAAAACTGATCTCCCTAGTTTTGTTTTAAAACGATAGCGTTCTAGAAACAAGTGGCCGGACCTTGTTCAGTTTTCCCCAGAATCTGCATAAAGTGGGATAAAACCCGACAAATGCTCAAGTCTTTGAGGTGAAAGGGCCGTCATTGTGTGTTTGTAGTGTATATAGTAGATATACAGTGGTGTCAGATTGGTAGTAATGCGGTTCATTTTCGGTTGGCTTGGCGGTAGTTTGCTGTGGTTGGTTTGGTTTGAGAATGCAGTCCCCTTATGCAGACGAGAGATGATGCACTTCGACCTGCTGTGGCGTTTACTGTGAGGACCAACGGGGGTTTCAGCGCCGTCAGTCACAAGCTAATTAAGGTTCATTCATCATCAAAAGGAAATTAATACATAGAAAGCAGGAGGAAGTCGTGATGTGTATTTCTCGCACAGAGGGCGGCACATCTTTCTTTTACCCGTCTCCTGTTGATTATCAGAGGAAATGTGTAGTGGCCTGATTCAAGTGATTAGTGGTGTCTGCAAACTCTGCCATACAGCTTATTCGGATGACAAAGGAATGTCTACTTTTAGTTAATTTGAATTCATATCAACAAAAAGCTGCTCAGTGTAGGACAGACTTTACTGCATTAAAAATCTAAATTGTGCAGGAAGAAAAGTTTAAGACCTGCTGACGCCCAAATTCCACCAAGAAAGTAACTACTGAAGAAAACTATTTGTTGATGATAATTTTTTGCTACAATATAACTTTGTCTTCTGCAAATATTTGGCATGAGCATCTGAGGCATTTAATAATAGGAGCATGTGGTCTGCCTATCAACCTGTAAATATTATAAACTAAATTTCCTTTCTATGATCAATGTTTACATTTTCCTGTGATGCAAGAATTGATGGGCTGCAACGTTTTTTCAGTCTCTGCTAAACAAGATCATTTTAATGGAAACACACGGCTCCTAATTACAGTGTTAACTTACTCGTGTGAGAATTTGTCTCCCCTCTGATCAGCTTTGTTGAGACAACATGAATCGCTCTGTTAAAGGATGAAAGTTCCAAGATTTTGGGCTTTAATAAGATGCAAGTTGGTGCTAGTTTTTATTATATATTGTGATGCTTTTGGATTTTGTTCAGCTCCATTATAGTACTTCCACTTCTCAGAATGCAAGCCTTAAATAATAAGGGGTTACCCCAAACTTAGATTCAGTGATTCCTAGCTAAAAAGCTCCATTTGAACTTAACTGTGAGACTTCTCGAGCGCTTGGGTGTACGAACCCACCTGCGCATCACACACTTAAGCTGAGAAAGACTGAACCAAGCGGTGGGAACCGCTGCTGTGATCTTCACTTGACCTTTTGAATGGCGGTTAACGGCTGCATTCTGCATTTGCTTCGGTGGTGGGTTCAAATAAAGATGCAAAAGAGTATGAATCAATGTTTTTGTTTTGTTTTTTGTCAATATTTTGTACAATCTGTGAAACTCAAACATCGAAGAGGTTTATATGCAAAAAATGTTTTCAAGTTTTGACAATGTTCTTATGTAAAATAAAACCTATTTTGGTACCTCTCTTTTCCAGCAGTCCTGCTTTGTGTGTGGACGTTGTGCGTTACACTCCAATACCAGCAGGAGGAAAGCTAACACCGTGTTAAATGAATGCGCTGGTTGAAGCCCTGAGACAGATTTTTACCAAGTGGCAAATCTTAATTCAAATAACTTAAGTTTAACAACACGTAAGCATCAACGTTTTGACTCAACTAAGGAACAATTGGAGAGGAGCGTGATGTTTATATGAGTTTTTTTTATGCTAAGACTACAAGAGGAGAACGCAACCAATTAAATCAAGGTTACACAATGGCTAGATCAACATCGCTAATGTCTGAGAGAAAATGTTCTGTGGGACACCTGAACGTCATGTAGGACCTTTTTTTCTGTTGATTTGATGGGGCTTATCAAATTTCTCCATTTTAGATGTTTTTGATAGGATTATAAATGATGATAGACAATTATTTTTAACAGTGCTTCAGAATATCAAAAATCTTATTTGATCTCAAGCGTATCCACTGTAATTTATTCCACCAAATATTTCAGTCAAGTAAGAATTCATATAATGTGTCTTGTTGGCTCGTCACTTTTTTGGCTGGTTGTTGGCTGGTTGTTTGTGGCAACACAAGGATGATTCAGTGAACGTTTACTGAATATAAACACAATTTATCACAATCGCTGTTGTTCTGACATACATAATGTTGGTCTGACGAGTCTGTAAAAGGAACCCGGCCCGTTAGGCCGGTCAGTTGCTCACAAAGGTTTTCCGGGAAGCCGTCAGAGTTTGTTTGTCTGTGTGTGCGTGTGTGTGTGTGTGTGTGTGTGTGTGTGTGCGTGCGTCTTGTGACCGCTGCCTGAATAACCAGATGAGGGATAGCTTCCTCTCTTGACCTCTCGGTCCTTACACATCCTGTCACAGCCAAACCACCAGTCCTTGCTTTCTGAAGGCGGCGTCCAGTTATAGTCCGACCCCGGATCTGGTTTTCACCTGATGCAAGAATATTTGTGAGAAATGTATGATTGCAAAGCATCCCTGTGAGTGTAAATAAACTTTACTCATTCTCATCTTGTTCCCCCTAACTGAAGAGTTTTTGTTTGTGGACGTCTGGACTTATTCTATTGGGTGGTCTGATTTGGTGCCAGGGGTCCAAAGCCAGCGGGTTTAGAGCCCTCCCCTCCCAGGACGTGGTGTCAAGGTCACGTTTGCTGCTTCCTGGATGAGCCAGCCCTTTACTTTCCTTCCTTTTGTCCCCGATCATCAGATCCTGCATGATCCTTCCAGCCTTGACTCATTCCTGTATCCCCACCCCAACCCCACCCCCACCCCGAGATACAAGGGCGTGGTTCCTCATCCCCGAGTGGCGGCCTGTAAATCTAGTCCCCGAAAAGCCGAATGGGATTCATCGTCTGCAGTCAGAGCCAGATCGTCAGTAACTGTTGTTTCTCTAACATTCCGCTCCTCTGTGTGTGTTGTTGGTGCACAACACACACTCACGCAGAGAACATTAGCGTTGCTATTTCTCAGCACTTCTCTACGTTTCTGTGGTCTCCCTCTGGATGGATTTTTCGCTCATTACTCAGAGTCATCTGAAATATTTCGGGCTCTAAACCCAATTCCGTGTAGCATGATATGTGTCATTTAGGAATGTTTGGATCATTCTATCTGTGCTTTGTTTATGTTCATCCTCCTGTGGTAAATGAGGAGTCAACCTTTAAAGGGCCAGTCCATCAGTTTTACGTCTAAAGGTCAGAGTAGGCTCCCGCTTCTGAATGAGGCTTTTTTATGAGAAAAGATCTTACCTTGAGTTGAGGCCCAGTCACACCATGTAAAACCTGTTTTCCTTTAATGGGGGAGGGATCTGTGTGTGAAGTTCGAGTCCTACATTTTCTAGAGTTGACCAATAGCAAACAGCCTTGACGGCTGATTAGCTTTGTCCCACCATCTACTAGCATATATAGCATATTGCATATTGTATTGGAGCGTAAGCTGCTCCACAAAAGAGGAATGCTTTAAAACCGTTATAAAATAGAAATTGATGGTGCAGATTAACCAGAAGACTACACTCAAGGACCCAGTATGGACTAAACTGGCTTGGAGAGGTGTTCTGAGTGGCTACCAACTAGTTCTTCACTCAACAGCTGGAGCTCAGAGTGATGAAATACATGTGAGATTTGTACCTCGGTGTTATATCGCTGTAAAGCCTGATAGTAGTGACTGAGTGATGGTGTGAAGATGGTCAGCAGTCAGAGCGCCGCAACAGGAGCAGGCAGCGGAAGATCGACTGATCCTGATACAACTCAGCAGGTCGCCGTCTCTTGTTCTACGCCGACAGACGGGGCAGGACGAGAGACCACTGCAGGGACACCGACTAACAATGTGGAGCCACCAGCTCAGCCCCTAAACCTCAGTGGCACGAGTGGGTACCTCTGAAAAGTGAGCTTCGTACGTCATTTGATAGAACCCAGGCTGTGATCCGTGGCAGCTGTGGTTGACTATGTTTGGGCATCTGCATGTATTCTGAAAAGGATGTTGAAAGAGTGGAAAATTGAGTCATTATTACCAGATTCTATCTTTGACCAATTTTCACACTAGAACAGGAACATGGGTTGCATGGAAAGCGAATGATGTCATTTCAGAGTCGGCCAGTGATAGAGTGACAGACCGTCACACATATAGACAGAACACTGCATGTCATTTCGTTGGCTTTATTTCAGTTTCAAATCTCTACTCTGCTGACAATTTGGAATGTTGAAGAGGGTAGTTGATTAATTGGGTACTTTGAGGTCAAAAGTCACTGGCTGTGTAAAGGCACATGAGGTCAAAGACCAGTGTTGATACATAAACACTTGAAAATCATATTCTACACACTCCTCACAAAGAAGTAACTATCAACAACTGAAATGATCAGAAACCATTTATTGTACATTATCATTTGCTAAGATTTTAACACAAACGCATAATATGCAAAGGCTGCATAAACAGCTCTGAACTAGATGAATCCTGTTGAAACATACACTTTACATGCTAGCGTGCATTGCCTTTTGCTTTGTATATCTCCAGATGCCGCACCAGATCTTCAATACGCATGTCCTTCAAGTGAACCAGATGCTCTAACCTCTGGACTTTCATCTGCAGGATCTGCACGAACGCACAAAGAAACACACACACAAGGATGTGGTAAAAAACTAGATGAGGTTCATTTTGTAAACTGAATTGTCTGATTGAAAACTCCCTATAGTGGTAGAAGGAAGTGTTACACATCTGTGTCAGGTACTTTCCTAACATGCAGATGTGGCCACAGGCAGAATAGTTGTATCCGCTGAACAGATACTGACTCACTGACCACTGCTGACAGAGCTTATGACGCATAAATGTATCACCCAAACGTTTCTCTCTCTGTCTCTGTCTGTCTCTCTCTCTCTCTCTCTCTCTCTCATATACACATCTGCAACAATATCATATATATGACAAAGCTCTTCCTCAACAGGACATCAAAACGGAAGATTTTGTTTGCAGATGTTGTAACAGTCAGCAGGGCGTTTACGGGATTGGTATGTGTGTGTGTGTGTGTGTGTGTGTGTGTGTGTGTGTGTGTGTGTGTGTGTGTGTGTGCCTGTGTGTCTCTACCTCCACCGTTTCCTGCAATGCCATGATAGCTTGCTCTTTTCCCTGCAGGAATAGTCGTAAAGGAGGGTCCATGTCTGGGTAAATCTGCGCTGTGTGCTGCAGTTTACTATTTAACACAAAACACAGATGACACATTAGTACTATGAACACTGCTTTTCATTAATTAAGTCATATTAAAAGAATAAGGTTTTGGTTCATACCCGTTTTTTATTTTTCCCTTTGCATCTTTTATCGTCTCTCCTGCCGTTTGGGCCACACATATTGCTTCAGTTTGACGGATTTCTGAAGACAACACAAAGCAACTAGAACATTTTTCCAACTAGAATGTGAAAACATGATGACTAAAAACTTGGCAGTTAGAAACCTAAAAGGACTCATCCAATAAGTCTTACAGACAAAACTAGGACAAAGGGAGGAGAATAGGAGGCAGAAACAGGGACGTAAGATTAGAAGGTGGAGAAAGAGAAAAATGAGGAGGCCTTTAAGTCCTGCAGTGCTGAGCTTAATCCAGTGATAAAGGCCATCTGGTGATGTTGGGAGCTGATATGAGGTGTGGCTGATAGCGGATGGGGAGTAGATGGAGGTACAAAAGCAAAAGGGAGGAGGCACTGGCCTGGGGTCAGCATTACGGGGGGTTGTCAAAGCAACAGATGAGGTGTGGTAAACGGAAAAAAGACACGTCACTGATTCCCTCCCTAAAGGTGGTGGCATTCTCTAATCTTTCCTGTCTGATGCTGTTAAATAAATGTCTGCCTCTGTGTGGCCTCTGTTATCTGAGGAACAGATTAGCATTAACATAGAGATGTGAGCGGGACACAAATGCTGACAGTATCAGCGCAGGCTGAAGAGGGAAGGAAGTAGAGTCAGACTCAGCCTTCACATCAGTCACCAAACATTCCTCTCAGGCACAAAATAACTCAGCAGTATGTCTGGATTATGCTGATTTTGTGTTTGTCATCCGACCAGCAGATATTGCACAATTAAAATAGTCTAAAATGATCCAATTCCTTCGCTGTTCTGGAAAATGCCAGATTCAATTTTTACAATTGACTAATTATAGTAACTATGACATATCATGCACAAGGCTTGCAGTAAAAACACATTCTTACATAACATAATAACTACCTGTGTGAGGTTTCTCCTGGCTTGTGGCGTCATAGTGTTCCAAATCCTGATTTCAGGGGAAAAATATGATTATTTTTCAAGCAACAAGTGACCACAGTGACTGTTTATTTTGTCATTAGCCTTCAAATGGACTAAGCTCTGTGTCTGGGTTCACACCAGTATGTTCTCTGCTGTTTGCTTTAGCTTCACGTCTATCTTCTCTCTGAGGGTGCTCAGCACCGGCTCTATCACTCCCGCAGTGTTCAAAACAATCCTCTTCACTGTGTCCTCGGGCACGTGAAAATTCAGCTTGGAAAACACCTTCCTGTTCACAGAAAAAAAAGGAGTTTCTCATAAAAATAATGAATAAGCAATACACATTTAATAAAAACCAAATGAGTTCTAACAGGAACAACGTGTTCCAGTTATGATGGTGATGAATACAAAAAAATGGTGCCAATTTGTTTACAGGGAAGCGCTATAAATCCCCAGCTGGCTACGTGCCACATGCCCGGCCCGGGAGGAGATGGGTGGGTGTGTGTTGGTTCTCGTGACCAGATGCAGAGGCCCTCAGTGCATCTCAACAAAGGTTCTGCATCAACGTGTGTTACATTGCACTGAAAGGCATTGAAAAGGATTTCCCGTCATTTGGAATTAGGAGATATCCATTGCGGTAGAAACTTTTTTTCTGTTGAGTGGAAGAACATTCTGGAGTCCACAAGTCTGGATTGTGAAAGTGTGAATGTTTGCAGCTCAGGGCTGTGTGGCCATCATGCAGACACCTTCCTCACTATTTACAACCTGTCTCAGTTCGCCTTCATCACATAAACAGTCACATGCACGTTGAATAAGCAAATAAAAGTGTCATCGTCATGTCTTGCCTGTTGAGAAGGTTCCAGTTACTGAGCTTCTGCTGTGTGGAGTTTGCCGAAATATAGTTGTGCAGGTCAACAAGCTTTGGAAGGAAATATTTAACAACCTCTGCGGCCATCACTAGAGGGTTTATCAGTGAGGCGCAGTTAGTTCAAGCAGATACACAAACAAACAGACATTTGAGCTGATACACTGAAAAGAGGCTAAATAAAAGTTGCAGGAGAACATTTTTACGAGGTCATACTTGCTGATTCACCGCCCTCTGGGCTGCAAGAGCCGAATGCTAAGTTTGACGTTACCTCCGTCGCTGAAGTCTCTCGTGATGTGTCTTTTGGGTCGGGACAGAGGTATTTTATCTATCCATGCGTACAAATCCTGAAGTTCCTGTTCGTTCAATTCTCGGTTCATTATTCTCAAAGCGATATTCTGAACTGTTTAGATCCACGGAGTTGGCTAGCTTGTTAGCTTCTATCGAGAACAGGTTGTTTGGGGCGTTGCTAGGTAACCGCTGATCAACCACAGCAACAAAGATCCAACGCCTTTTGGAAGATGAATGTATTACTCGAAACGCCGATTGTGTGATTGTGGTGATTCACTTTAATTGTTAGCTCCAATTTACAGACAAAAAGAACATCTCAAGAAATAGGACCGGTTCAAATACATTTTCAGTTAAAAGTTTGCAGGATAGATTAAGGCAGAATACCCACTGTAAGGAAGAATCACGGGTGTGGTGAGTGAAGGATTAGGCCTGCTACATAGAATGAGCAATATATATATATATTCCTATTAGATTAAATCAATAAACAAAACAGCGTGTAAAAATGAGTCTCTCCATGTCAGGCCTGGTACCTAGATTAGTACAAAAATGTTCCAAGAAAAGTCAGAACCTTCATGGTATGTCCTTAATTGAAATTCCTTTTGAAGTGCCCATATTGGCGCCACATTTAAATTCCCTTAACAGCACTATTCCTTTTAAAAGCAGTACCAAAACACATGTGAAGGAATGGCAGCAAGTAAAACAGTTACAGCATCAACAATAGTGCAATTGCCTCGTTAAGTGTGCGCAAATATCAAGGAAGAAAGACATTTCCCTTAAAATACAAAACACATCATCATGGCCGTGTAACCATTTGTCATTTATAAAGCACGTGAAGTTGAGTCTGTGCATCACAGCTTCAGGTTTAGCAAACAAAATTCAGAAGGCTTTCATAACCAAGACACGGACGGCGTAATCCTCATGTCTATAACTGACAAAAAGCCCGAGCACTTTTATTATTGCCGATCCTTCAGTGGATCTTGCTTTAAAACTGCCGAGCAGAATGCTTAAGGGGATTTCTAGTTCCTCCTTAGGTGTGCCAACAAGAATGTCCTCAGTCAGAGGACCTGGGTGTTTACAGCAGGCTGATTAATTCCCCCCGTCATCTGGGCCTGCAGGGGGGCGTCAGGGCGGCTCTCCCTGCAAGCTAGAAAAAACAAGTACTGTTAATAAACGTCACATGACTCCTCGTTATTTAGTGGTGGCCTGGATGAGTGTACGTGCTAACTAACTCACCAATTCTCATTACAATGCTATGCTGGGGCAATGTCACAAAACCACAGGCATCTTTATAAACGTGAATGTCTAAATAGGCAGGAATGTCTGAGTACCAGCTGCCAGGATCTGGAGGATTTAAGAAAAGCAAATTGACTCTTTTTCCATCTGAATACATACCAGCTGAGTGTGTGGCAGCGGACAACGGGCCGCAGAGGGCTTTGGCTTCACTGGAGGCATCGGAGGCGTTGGTTTCATGATCTTAGAGAGCAGATGGTCACAGTTTATTAAACGTGTGAATGCTAACATACGTATATTGTAGGTAACATTACTTGCGATGTCACTTACTGGCTTTGTTGCAAGTGGTGGCAAAGGTCTCGATGGAGGTAGTGGCTTATTCTGAAAAGAAAATGAAAAGAACAATACATACTCAGCTTAATAAAGCAAACTATTAGAGAACTCGAAAATAAAATAAAACTTTTCTATATGTAATTTTACCTCAGTATAAACTGGCTTGCTTGAAACAGGCTGCATGAATGACCTCACAGCCTAAAGAAAAATAGTTATTTATTAGTTTAAATACAGCGAGATCTAAAATAGGCTACACACATATATATATATATATATATATATATATATATATATATATATATATATATATATATATATATCTGTGTGTTTAGTATAGTAGTAGTACATATACTACACATTAACAAAAAGGAAAACAGTAGACCAGATTACCTGTTGAATCTTCATTGGCTGAGGTAGAGCTGACAACTTCTTAGGTGGCTGTAAGAGACAAAAATCTGAGATTAGAGAAGGTGAAAGCTCGATTAGTCTTTTTAAACCATAAATCTGAATAGATTTCCCAACTAAAATAACAGCAATGGTCCGGATAATGATTTAGAATAACCCTGGAGCTCATCAGTTGTCATTGTGTATTGGAAGCTCACCACTGGAGCGGCTCTGCAGGGCGTCAGTACTCCAGCATGTGGTCTGGCAGAGGACAGAGGTTTAGAGGCTGTCGATTCCACAAATATGGGCCGGCTGATGTGTGTGGACCCGAGACGGGGGCTGCCTCGTGTCCCGCTTGACCGAAACAACGGGTTTGATTGTCCTGAGTTTGCCTGGAGGCATCTAGGAACAAACACACACGGACGCTCGAATGGACCGGATGGACACGACTATGTGGCTGAATGTACAAACATAGTGATCAAACAGTGAGTGAAAGAAAGGAAAATGTTCTCATAATAATCTTTGTACCTCTTTGCAGGTCGCCTTTTCTTGATGCAGCACATCAAACTCCCAATAACCAGAACCAACAGCAGGAGCAAGCCGACCACCGATAACACAATAAACATCACCAGACCTGCATCTGCGCACACACACATACACACACTGATTGTGACAATATTCCTTCAGGGATGAGCCAGTTACAGAGTACGTCACTCGTTCAGGATATGAAACGCACTGTAACATGATTACTGCATTTGTACCAACTAACTGGGGAATTCCATTAAATCAGTAGTCACGGGAACAGAACACAATCGTTTGAATGTGATTATTACATCCTGCTGCAGCGCGGGAGAGGAACATTCACAAGCGGCGGTGTGTAAAGCATGGGAATCACAAGGTCAAGCACATAAATACTGTTATTATACCTTCAGGGAGTTCTGACTGTTCCACATTGCAGAAAGGTGGGGCCCAGCCGGGGTCGCAGTGACACTTACTCTCATGGTTGCAAACCTGCCACGGATCAAAATCACAGTCAGTTATGTTATCGTGGCTGTACGTTGCTCCAAAGTGATGTGAGGCAACAGATTTCTCACCCCGTGGTGGTTGCATTTGGCCGAGCAGTCACTTTTTCCGTATGTGTTTATGTTTTGGATGTCCTGACACCGTTGATTGTAACATACCTGAAAGACACAATTCAATCATCTGGAGCCCAAATAGCTTTTTTTGATGCCAAGTGTTAACAGCAACCTGGGCACTTTTCTCACCATGTTGTTGCCACATTTAGTGCCAACAGGCACCATGCCCAGATCTGCAGGGTAGTTATCTTCAGGTATCATAGTTGCCGTATTGCAAATGTCTCCATTTCCAACTCTGTAGAAGGACTTCCTGGATGTCACTGGAAACTCCCAGCCTCCCGAGCAGAACAGCGTCCCGCAATGTTGATCTCTGTAACCAAAAACCACAAAGCGATGATACCAAGGATTCCGCGATATGTAATATTTCACTGCTGTAATGGCTTTTTGGTTTACATACTGGCTTGAACATCTTTGGCTAAACAGCGTCCTTTTGCAGTTTCCGTGCGTGTAGAAACAAGCGTCTGAGGCTACGTCAGCATCTAAACACAATCACAGCAGACAAGGTAGCTGCAGACGGAGGAGTGTTGGCATATCGGAGAGGCGGACCGTAATTCACTGGTGCAATACCTGGTCCCCAGAGTCTCTTGCAGTGTTCCCGCTGCGATGGACATCTTCCATTGTAGCAATAGCCTTTTCCACGGTTGCAGGACAGGCCATTCTGGGTGTAGGCATCAGTCGGACAAGAGGCGGAGAAGCCAGTGCAGTATTCTGCCAGGTCGCAGTTTCCGGCCTTTGGTCGGCAGACGCTGCCTGTCGGTTTCAGCTGCAGAGCCGAGAGAAACACAGATGGTCGTGTACCAATCCTGAAGTAAGAACACTCTCACATAACCAGCCAGACGGCAGAGTCAGACACAGTCTAGCTACATGGAAAGGCAGTCATCATCAGAGGGACTTCAGCTACAGATAGAGGAGGCCATAGTGAATATTACTTACTTGGCATTCGTGGCAGCACTTTCCTTCTGCACACTGCGCTCCTGCGTTCAGTTTACAGGAAGTGGCGTTGCAGCACGGATTCTTGCATTCCTACGAGTCGGAGAGAGCGGTGCCGATCATTACAAACCATCTCTCTCGTGTGCTAATGTTGAGTGATCGTATGTGTGCACACTGTGCGTTGCACACACCTCTACCGTGCCACAGTCGCACTCCTCTCCGGGCTCCAGGAAGGAATTTCCACACACCGGCCCTCCATAGTTGCGATCAGCAGCGGGGGTATCAAGCAGGCAGGCGGGGTTGATCTCCTCCAAGAACCTGCTGAGCTGCTGCTGACTGCAGCTGCTGAACAGCTCGGGATACACAAGGCTAGAAAAAGAGACAAGAGATGGTAAATATTAGCTTTAATTTGGGTTTAAATTTAGAGGGGTTTACTTGCATGAGAGAAACTGAGCTTACCCAACGCGCTCAGCCATGATGCAGCCTCTTTTGGATGTCGGGGAGCCACAGACACAGTTTTCAGCGTCATGGCTCAAACCCAGGTTGTGACCCATCTCGTGTGCAATAGTAGAAGCTACTCCTATTGAGTTAGAGTTATGGTCCTGTGTGTAGTAGACAGAAGAGGAGTAGAAATGAATTTGATTTCCTTTCAATGTATATATGTGAACACAGAAATTTTACTAAAATGCATATATTGACCTCATTGACGGCTCCAGAGTTAGAGGTGCACATGGCATTGGTGTTGGCTAAGCCGACAGTAGAGCCAATAAAGTCCACACCGCTGAGTGAGGAAGAGGAAAAATCAAACACATCGTCTCTGCATCGTCTTTTTAGTTGCAGGTTGAAAACAACCGCATCTTACGTGATGAACTGTGCGTTGTCGTGTTTGGTCCTCTGCAGCAGACTCCGCTGACGCCACTCGAGGAAGCGGCTGAGGGTGAGCTCAGGGTCAGCGCTGACCTCAATCTGATCTTTGTATGACCAGATATCCAAACCGACCATCATCACGCGAACGCCCACCGGGCGATACAGCTGAAACAAAGCAACACGTCAGCACAAAATGAAGGGGAAATCAACCCAAAACGGAAAAGATTGTTGAGTAATGCTACGCATCGTCGGACCAGCTAACTTTAATTATGTCCCAGGAAACCATTGTTGGGTCTAGTGCAGCCTGACAATATATTCGTGGTGGACTTTTCTCTTTCAGACTATGCAAAGAAGATTGCGAGATATGTGTGAAACATAACAGCTTAGGTGGGAAGAATCGCAGTTAAAGTTAGATTTTCACAGTGACAGAACTTCTCCTCTACTCTGATTGCTGGTATTAGAGTCAGTAAAGAATAGATGGTATCAGGACGGATGTATTTAATCCACATTGAAAATGATATCTGATGAGGTGCCCGACACGTGGCTGTGCTGCACTATTGAAAGTACTATCTGCCGCCAATTAAAACACACTTTACTTAATTACTGTTAAAAATAAATGGAATACTTTGTTGGTCCAGCAGCTAAATTTGCTTAACATTACATAAAAAATAACCTTGATGCTCATTTCAACTTTAGAATGCCTTTATTTTGTAGTCTTAAATAACAGGGTTGTGTCATTTGTAACGGAAAAACAACAGAGAAACAAACATACCTTGTCCACGTGGTTTGCTATTTCAAGCGCTCTGGCCTCTACTGTCTTCCTACTGCCAAACTTCTTATACTAAAAATAAATGATTGTTTGAATTAGTAATACGACAAACAACATCTCAGATATAAAAGATGCTACTTTTTAAGGGGTATGTCTATTGTGCAGATTATCATTAATAGGCTGCATTTTCAAATAGAGAAAAGAGAATAAGGAATCAAACCTCTGCGTTGTCGACCACCACAACCAGCTCCACTGTCTTGGGTTTTCCTGCAGGGTCTTTGGTCTGGGCCCTGCTTTTCTGAATAAGACAAAAGGTGGGAGATATCAACAAAAAAAAACAAAATAATCAGATTTGTACACCACCTTTCAAAAACATTTGAATAGTTATTAAATAAATATATACGATTGGATAATATTTTTTATAAGAAATCCAAAATATATAAAAAATTAAGTTTTAAGTATATTCAAATGTCAGAAGTTTTGTCTCTCCTTGTTGTCCTTTTTTTCTTTTGTTTGTCTCAAATTATTAAATTGAAACTAATGCTGAATGTGAAGTGCAACAAAAACTTTTGTGTCTTTTTCTTACGTATCAAGGGGACATTGTTTAATAAAATGATTAACTGTAAGAATGCAGCACCAAATATTGGATATCAGCTGTAAGCTTGAAACACTGGTGTATTTCTGTATGTTTCCACGCCGTGCATCTTTTACCAGGCTGCCGAGCTGGAACAGTCCAGAAGGATGAGCTCCGTGATCATAGAAAGTGGTTGTGTTTCCATGGGAACAGGAGCTCCTCTTCCTCCTCAGGTGTTTGTAGTTGTAAACAGCATGGAGACCCTCATCGCTGAGAGCTCCGGAGCTCTGTCGGTCATCACGCTGTCCCGCCTCTGTGCCGGCCAGAGGTTCGAGAAGGTACATCTGGTCCCGGAGCCGCACAAACCCCCTGCAGTTGCAAAGAACAGGAACTTCAGAGTGAACGTTCTGTCTTTGGATCGGACACAATGCTCATGACTCACAGGGGGGCGACTTTCACTCTCAAATCATTATGGAGATTTAATTTGGAAATGTACTTTGAGAATCAATAACTTGTTGTAATAGTAGCATAATAATAGACATACAGACTGAAAAATACAATTGACACCCATTACTCACTTTATTCCTGAGCAGAGTCCCACGCTGGCAGAGGAGTCCTCTACTCCCACGATGTGCCCATGGTAGTAGCAGTGAGCCTGAACAGACATTCTTTATTTGTCACAGACTGAAAGGAAACATTTCAACCTACACGTTTGTTCTTTTTATCATCAAGCACAGTGAAAAATCGTGGTGTCATTTGCAGAAGATGATATTGTACATGTCAAGGTAAGATGAAATGACTAAGATGAATCTTGACGTAATCTCCTCTTTCACATAAAATTGCAGAGTGTTGTCATTTTTTAAAATGAGGAACTTTGTGGTTGAGAAACCGAGTACATTGGGACATCAGATATTTTGAAATGAAAATTTACTGGAAGATATTGTATAAAGTGACACAACGCTTCTAGATAAAAATGATTAGTCTTGCTGTACAGTAAAATAAATCTTTTCACACTATCCTGATTGCAGACCTCTAAATCAGCCAACATTTCAGACTAAGTAATCTAAATTACACTTTTGCATGTTAGAACGAAGCATACAACAGAATTTCCACAACACAGGTATCTGGTTCTGATAAATCACACTAAAATGCAAGATGATCATAAACACAAGAGCGATATCATGTTGGTGAAATAGAAGTGCCGAGGAGAAAATGACATACCGTGAGATCCGGAGTGGTTGTGACTTGGGTGCCCTGATCAGAATAGTGGGTCACAGAGAACTTTTTCCCGACAAGATCTCTGAGAAGTAAAGTTGTATTTTGTTCTTTATGTCACTAGCACACGTGAAGAATAAAAGTACAGTATGTATATGAACCCGCTCAGTCAGGAATAAATGCACTAAAAACACAGTCCCAAACATTTTAAGTTTTCTCACTTGTTCCTTTCAAGGTGCAGTGTGTAGTTTCGCCCTGCGATCGTCAAAGAGTACTGGAGCACATCAGGGTATGTCTACAAATACACACACACACACAGATGAAACTTTAATACATCTTCCCAAAGATTCAAACCTATCAGAATTGTTCAGTAGAGTGTTACCTGGTGTGTAGCAGCATCTGGAGCAGATGGATCCCATAGCCTCTGAGGTGTCACTGTTTGGTACTTTATCACATGAGGTAGAGTCCTCACACTGCCAGCAATGATTCCTGCAAGTATCGGGGATATTTTAGGAGATTAAAATAAAAGAAAGAGAGAGAGAAACGAAAAAGAATGAGAAAAAAAAGATAAGTCGTACCCCACAAGGAGAGGGAAATCCATACAAAAGATCCAGAATCTGGCATGTTGCTCTACCGGACGGACTCTGTCATTGTGAGCGTGGAGGTCTGAAGAAAAGAGGCTCTCCAGCTCTCCGCCCTCTCTGCTGTGTAATATCCTGCAAATCACCAATCGCGGATGACAAACCACATGAGTCAACCAGAGGACGGTACAATAAAAAAGAAGCTAAACGTTATTACTTTGCTTTTTTTGTAAATGAGGAAATTCTCGTGAGTTATAAGCCCATTAAGCCACGTGACCTTACGGGAATTCTAACGTTCTGATAAAACTTTGTTTTAAAAAAATGTAAAAAGCTTTGCAGATATGAGCACGAAAGTGGGTTCTGACATCGATGTCCCCTCTTTGTGATGAGACTTTAAGCAAATCTTTCTCTCTCTCTAAGACATTGTCCATCCCATCCACCACCATCACGCAAACATTCAACATAATAATCGAAACTAGATCAACTCTGTTATACAGCTGCATGTAGGAATGTTTAACTGGGAAGATTTAATGTATGCAATTATGGGAATGTCGTCATTTCGTTATAAAAAACACACACCCTGTTCCCAACATCAACACACACCTCCTAAAGACAAATGGTGGCATTTGTCGCCACCCACTGCTAACAAGGCAGAATGGCTCAAACTCGCTCAAATTGTCGGATCATAATCGTGTGAGTTCCCATTAAAAAATAATACATTGAGTTTAAATGTGTTTCCTGAAGTTTCTTTTGCGTGGAATGGTCATTTTAAGCTACAGCAATGTTACATCTTGATATTTTAATGTTTGCTGCCCAGGGAAAAAATCGGCTTATATTTGTTTAAATGTATATCATATATAAATCAATCCTATTTTCAGTCATCACAGTGGGGTTAACGTATTGCAACAAATTATCCGATTATAAAATGTATTTTATTTTATAAATTGTGCATAATACCAAACAAATTAGATACGTAAATAACACTCTTGCATGGGAAATGGGTCTGGCCGGCTGGTGGCGTCATCGCGCCATTGTTTGACAACCACAAGCGAACACCGTATGTGACGTCATCAGCCCGCGACAATCACAACGAAAACAAGCCCAATTCCCCACTGGGCGGTTGGAGCGCTGAAGAGAACGACACCCTGGAAGCGATGCTGCGACCGGAGCCGGGGCGGCCAGAAAGCCCGCGGGACGCGAGGCCAGGTGGGGGTGGGGGTGAGGGTGAGGGTGAGGAGGGTGAGGAGGGGAATCCGTTCGACTTCGCCCCGCAGCCCGTCCGCCTGCACAGGGACCACGAGCTCTTCGAGGTGAGCGCAGCGGCTCCGACCGACTCTTGTCTCGCTCGTTCACAAACCGCCGTGGTAACGCGCCGCGTGCCGTCCACAGGACGGGGACGTCCTCAGGCACCTGTACCTGCAGGACCTCTACGTGTCGGAGGAGGCCGAGGACAAGCGCGCGCTCTGGTACGCAGACACGTCTCCAGCTGTTTCCAGGTTGTGTGAATACAGCAAAAACAACAACAGGTCTAATTAGCCATGTGATGGATTTGTTTCTGAACTCCTTCGGGTGTTTTTACTCGGTGAATCCATTTGCAGAGAAAGATTGCACAGATTCTGAGTTTGTTGTAATTGCACGTTAAAGTAAAGTGCAGTCTTCCCCAAGTTACTTTCACATCTCAGATATGAGAACCCTAGTTGACGCTTTCCTCTATAACTGTAATATCAGTGGTGATCACCTTCCTCCGTCCTCTGGTCTTTCCTCAGCGTGTCAGAGTTCGCCTGCCACTTTTCCAGCTGCAGTGCAGTCTTCAGCAGTCTGGAGGAGTATGAGCACCACTACAACTCCCTTCACAGACACGTGTGCTGCTCCTGCCGTCGCTCCCTGCCGAGCGCCCGGCTCCTCGACCTTCACATCCAGGAGTGGCACGACTCTCTCTTCACTATCCTCGCCCAGAGGCAAGACATGGTGAGCTAGTCATCTGTATTGTAAACGATGCAACATGTGAAGCATTCTTCGACGATGAGTGTTTAAGGTTTTCGATGGCGCCTCTTTCACCCCTTTCAGTACCAGTGTTTGGTGGAAGGCTGTGGACAGAAGTTCAGAACTAGCAAACACAGGAAGGACCACCTGGTTAGAATTCACAAATATCCCCCAGACTTCAGATTTGATAAAACTAAGAAGAACAGAGGGTAAGACTACATATTTCATCCATTAGATGGCAGCCAATCCTCAATAGAAACATTTCTCAATGCAAAGTTTCAGTCATGGAATTTCAATGTTTGTCATAGTAAACAGGAATTATGTCTTTTGAATTTAACTTTTTTTGTTTTTAAATTTGCTATTATTTCATATTCATATTCACATATTAATCATTGTACAGCTCAACATTCAATGTCACGCTTTGTTTAACCCTAACCCTTGTAACTTCCATTTTTAAAACACTCCGCTACAGTGTGAGTTGCATTAGACAAAGTGTTTTATCATTATGGAGGATTTTCATCAAATCCCCTTGTTTGTGTGTTTTTACTATCACATCTTCTATTAACAGAACCCAGCAGACAAAGGGGCAGCAGCAGAAAGACACAGCCATGGAGGTCGTGGACGAGGTGTGCGAGGGAACGTCTGATCCACCCGAGCAAGGAGAATCCATGGAGACGTATGTGTGTGAGGAAGAAGCTGCTAGAATGGCAACGCCTGCCTCTAGTGAGGAGCACGCCGATGTTTCGGCTGCAGATCCCAGCACGGAGAGTCCAAGCACCGAGCCACCGAAAGCCCGATTCTCCTACAGGTTGGTCTTTAAACAAGTCCGCTGGAAATGACTCGATAACCCTACCTCGGTATTTTTTAGATCAGATGTTCGGAGGTTAATGCTTGTAATTTAAAATTCAACTCTTCTTAAAGGAAAGTCTGTGCAATGATGTTGTAAAGTTTAGTTTAAGAAATCTGTATGCTCTTTCTTTCAATGCAAAATATTAAAATATATGATGGTGGAAATCTTCTCAATATTTACCACAGTTTTTTGTAATTTTACAATAATTAATTGGAGATATAAAACCAAAGCTGTGCTCTTGTCTCTCAGGATTCCCACAACAGTGTGCTTTGGTCACGGCTCCGTCAGAGGCTTCAGAGGGCGGCGGGGAAGAAGGAAATGAACCACAATTGAGTTTTCATCTATTTTTACATCAATAAGTTTATACCCTTGTCTTGTGACAAAATATGTTGACTGAATATGTTAATGAATAAGTCGTTGACTTCAAATAAAAAATGATTTGCATAAACATTCGTTGAGGTGATCAAGGAAATCTTTAAGTGACAAGTGATGAGGAATCTCGTGGGAGAGAAAAATAATTATCAGAATTTACATAATATATTTCAACCATTGTACAAAACATCTTTTCATCCATCAGATATACACTGTGCATTGATGACTGACCCGTCCATCAGCCATGTTTAGACCTTAAGAGTGTTTGCAAAAATAGCTGAATGTCTATAGTAATGAAACTGTTTGCTAAGCGCGATTTGAACATCTGTGCAAAAAAAGTATTTTTGAGGTAATGTAAAACAAATGTATACAATATGTGTATGACAATTGTAAAGCATATTTATTTTATAAATGTTTATATTTCTGAACCTGGGAAAATGATTTGTTAGAAACAAATCAAAAATACGTTTTCTGTTTAGATATTATATGAATTTACCGTTCACATTAACATGGAAAAAAGTCACCGTGGAATATAGAACAGCCCCCTAAAATGGTAAAGGTATTTCAGAAGTAACATTTTGAAGATTACATTTCTAAAATATATTTTTTTACAGACATTTCATTTGATTACAACGTGGAGGTAAAGGCACTAATGGGCACTGCAGTGGTGGTTCTTGTTATTAAGAACTATTGAAGATCATCAGCTTATCATGGGGATTTACTTTCGGACAAATTGTGCTGCACATTCTTTTTAATTCCCCTCTTTATAGCCTCCACTTTATCAACCGTCAACATTTTTGGTAGCGTTTAGCTTCAACTTTCAGAAAACAGTTTGAGTGTGATATAAGCTCCTGCTTTTTGACTGCCGAGGGGTCGACTGAAGCCCAAACTTTTAATTTGAATCCAAAGCTTCATAAATAATCATGTTATCTCTTGCAACATTAAAAACACTATTCAAGAAATATCTCTAACGGAATACAACGGCTCATATTTTAAAGATGCCTATAAGTGAGTTTAGCTATGTCCTAAGTTGAAGAAAAGAAGAAAAGATTTTAATAAATACACTGCAAAAATGACAACAAATCATTTACTGTAAAGAGAATCTTCAATTCTTCATAAAATTAATGAAAAATGTCAATTGAGGGACAACTTGTTTATGTTCCCTGAATGAATAGATTGTTTTCAAAATGGAAAAAAGTCTGAAAAATATACATTTGTCATTATAACAAAATATTTTAAATGTATTTAAACGGCTTCAGAGAGGTCGACTCAACTGATACTTGTTCAGTGTTGGTTGTTTGCTGTATTAAGGCTTTTTTTTTTTTATAGACAGCTTTCCCAACCGATGCAGTTTTAAAGGTTGAGCGCGTTAAGACAAGTAGTACATCCCGTATGGTCCACCGAATAGTCCTGGGACGGGGAAAGCCGGTCGCGGTGCGTTCAGGGCCCCGTAGAGGGACGCGGCGCCCATGGGTGCGCTCAGCGGGAACGGAAAGGCAAAGGCGGGCAGCAGCGGCTTCGCGGCCAGCTTGAACTTCTCCAGCTCGGCCTCCTGCAGCCTCTTGGCCTTGGCCCGGCGGTTCTGGAACCAGATCTTGACCTGGGTCTCCGTGAGGCCGAGTGAGCTGGAGAACTCCGCTCTTTCTGCGATGGAGAGGTACTGTTTCTGACGGAACTTCCTCTCCAGAGAAAGCAGCTGAGAGGTTGTAAAGGGAGTTCTGGGTTTCCTGTTGTTCTTGTGTTTCCTTAGATTGCACGAGGTCGGGGTTGGAACTCCTGGAAGTATATTTATGGAGTCGCCTAATTGGGAAAGAAAGTACGTGGTTATTAATCGGCAATAATGCCAAATCAGGAACATTTTTGTTTAAGGCAATGCTAAAAGTTTAGAAATCCGCTTTCTCTATATAGATCTAATAAAGGATGAGATGGTCGTAATATATCATCGTATTTCCTCACCGCGAAAGCCCTGCGTGTGGACACTGTGGTACATTCACTGTATTTATTGCGACGTTCGTCAATTAGTGTCAACTTCTACGTTTATAACATTTTAAGACATTTTCCGACTTTTGGACAGTTGAAAAAGAGCTTCCGTTTCTGGAAAATTAGGAAGACAAAGAGCGTCCTACACTCACTTGGAAGAGATGCGTGAGGAGGCTGAAACCAGGGGCTCGTCTCCTTGTCGCCGACGTGCGTCGCCTCCGGTTTGGACCGATCAGGTCCTCCCGGTGACGCGCACTCGGTCTCGTCCGTCCGGATGCAGCACGAACCAGGCTCGGGGGAGCGGAGGCTTCTGTCTGGCGTCCTGTCCGATATGAGCGATTCCACACTGAAAGGTATGTCTAAACTTTTGGTTTTACGCCTTCTGGTGGGTGACAGGTCCAGCTCGTCAGTTCGCATGTCGCCGGTGACCCGATCCTCCGGTGGGGTCTCCCCCGGAGCAGCCGAGGGCGGGGATCCTTGCGGAGGATTCATTACGCACAGCTGAGGTGCCATACAACCAATCTCCCTGCAGCTCTCTGCGTTACTTCTCAGTCTATTCGCGTTTTCACTCTGGGAAATGTTTGATCGTCCCCGGTCCAATGTTGCGTGGCTGCGTGTTAAACTTTTTACGCACGCACTCCCCTCTTCTTCATTGAAGTGACATGCGTTTCTCTCTCATCTATCTGCCTGCCTATCAGTCTGTGGATGTTCCCACGTGGCCCTGGCTGAGAGTTTGTGATAGGCCGGGCCTATAATGGCAGCGTTGTGGTCCATTTCATGCGCCTCTGTGGTGCCCTGACGGATGTAAACCACCGATGAGGGGCGTGGCTCGGAATTCTGCCCCCCCCCCCCCCCCCCCCCCACCCCCCAATTCTCCTCTTCATGCCCCTTTGTCCCCCTTTCCTCTAATACAGGAATTTTTGATGTTGGCCCTCTCCTCCTTCATCAGCAACGTCTTCCTCCCCATCAATGGGTTTAGTTTGTGCACACCTGCCCAGATGCATTTCTGTTCCAGAAAATCAACGTCTCAATTACGCCTAAAACCTTCAAATATTGTTTGATATTCTTGGTGTATAAACATGGAAATGGACTTATCTTATTTGATCTAATTCTGATTTATGAAATAGCTCAATTATTTCCCACATTGTATTTCCCCATAGGCTCCGTCGTTGTTTTTTTTATTACGGCCCCGTCTTCACTGTTCTGTTTACTCTCACTGCTGTCATCCATCCTGTTTTCAGCAGCAAAACGTAGCTGGTCACCAGCCACAACACCCTTCACTCTACCTTTCCAGCACCCAAAATGAGCAAATAGCTGGTGAACATAGTCAAGCATTAATAAGCAGCTAAAAAATCAGATAATTTCCTCTGAAGTTGGTGGAGAACAAAATCAGAGCTGGAAGGAGAAAGGATGTTGGACAGACGTACATGCATTCATTCATCCAGTGGACAGTAACGTGGATGCTAATGTTGCTTTGTGTGTGATTGAAGTAGGATTTGTATCTACTACTGTTGGCTAACACGTTTACCAGCCAATTTATGAGATGATGAAATGATGACAAAGGTAATGTTTACAGCTGCCCCTAAAATAATAAATAAAAGGTTCAACAAAAGACATGTTAATTCTGTTGATTACAGCTTACGGTTGTCTTTTTTTAAAGAGATTTTAACACTTTTGTGCAGTTACTTGTCATCAGACCTCTAATGAAAAGTTATGTTTGACAATATCTTACATAGTTTATTGCTGTGGCGATCCGGGCTGTGATACACAGGACTTAGTGTACTCTTAAGAGTTATTATAGCCATAAATGTCCATCCTGTAATCAAATTATCTATGCCTTTGTATTGCCCCCCCACTTGAATGCTTTGTGTTCATCGCCTGGAATCCCTTTGAGAGACAGTAGAACCTCAAATAATGTCAAAGAGCCCCATTGAAGACTCCCATCCAAATGCGTCTTATTTTTCAAATCAAGTCAAATCATTTTCAGGGAAACCCAATATGTGAGAGTTTTCCCTCTCTTTGGGGAACCGTTGTTGGGCCTCCAGCAGCACACTGGCTGTCTGTCTGTAGGACAATTGGTTAAACAGAGTTAACTGTTTCTCTCCCCGAGGTAGCCTACATTTCTGCTTTGATCTCGCTGCCTGGCGCCTGTCTGCTCTCGCTCCCCCTCTCCCTCACTGTGTGACAGTGATAGATCGCTGGGTAACCATACAAGCTTTCAATGACTGTAATTTAGTCCCAACGACATTACATTCTCCTCTACTTACTGTGAATATTACCCACTCTCGCTCTCCTGTTTGAAACTGCACGTAGGGATATCTATAATGCTTTGTTCCTCTTTCATTGTTTTATAATGAATGAGTATGTTATATTTGAGTAGCATACACACGCCAGAGAAGGCAACAATGAGCATTATGGTTTGGTTTAAATTAGTATCTATAAATAGTAGCAGTGGCAGTGTTACCGTTTTTTTTGTATAGCAAAGTATTTGTAAATTGTTTGATAGTTCATCCTGAAGATGTTTTACTGATGAGTGAAAACTATTTTGACCAGTTGGTGGCGTTAGAGGAAGCGTCGGTTTGAGTCTTAAGGAGTCGTCCCTGTGGGCAGCGTGGCTGTCGGTACCAAACTGAAGGGCAATCTATCCAACAGGTGTCTTTAAAGGTGTTGGACCAGCAACCCCTCGACCCAAGCAGCTACTGTGGTTGAAAAGCACCTTGTCAGTGAGCAAATTCTAATTTTTCATACTTCTTCAGTTTTCAGTTGATTGTTTTCGTTTCCTGTGCTTTAGTTTAAACTGTAAGTCAGCCACTGTCAGTCTGTCTGTCTCGTTCTCTCTTCCACACACACCTCTCTGAACCCCGCTCCCTCGCCAAAGTGGAGAACCGTTTGAGAATGTGATTGTGGTTTTCAGAGGCATGTTGACGCAGGCTTTATATATTTTCTTTATCTTTCGTAAGAGCTGGCAGGGCTCACAGCTACCCGGAGCAAACTGTGGGGCGGAAGGCCGGAGTCATGTGGGATAAGGCTTTATGAAACACACTACGGGGAACTAATTCTCTTTAAGCATTGATTTCCATACGCACAGGTATCATATTAATGATCCGGGCCATGTCACGCAGAGATGTGACCAAGTCAGCTTTGCTTGCGTCCTTAAATCGGTCTCTTCGTCTTGAAAAACAAAAAGTAAATGATCATATCCAATGAAGATGTCACTAGTGTTCAGTACGAACTCCAGTCCGATATTTGGATCTACCACTTCAGTGTCGGAAATAAATATTGACGCTTCAATGACACATTTTATTTTGAAAAGGGGACTCCGTGCCACTTCTCGCACTATAAATTGTCATGATTAATGAGTGTATATTAATCACTGAAAGTCTAGCCTTCAGGGTTCAATTAAAAGAACTGCACGCTCAAAAATAAAACGTCTTTAACTTGACACTTGGCCCGAGCTCAGTTTCACTCAGGTCCAGTCATGCCAATCAAGTCAAAGAGGATGAGGAGGGCCTGAGGTATTCACAGGGATGTTTCCTCTTATCTGATCAGTGCTTGAAGGGAACTGCAACAGCACGTCAGCCTTGATTAGCTGTTTCAACTTTGCCACTGTCAGCACATTGTTTCATGTGAGTCTCAAGGTCGGGTGTCACCTGACAAGAAAGGGCACTGACGGGTGTCAAAGAGTATGTCGTGGCAGGAAAATGTACTCGGAGAAAGCGCTCAATTCATCATTGTGCTTCCACAGAAGAGCCCGTTTGATGGTCGACCTTCTCTTTGGTGGCACACTTTCTAACTGCATGACCGTAAGATGTGGTTGGGTTACAGACGGTCCGCCCATGAAGGCCTTATAATGTTGCACTTGTTTGTACAGCAGTGTTGTGAAGGCAACTGAAACTGAAAATACAGCCAATAATCTGTAAACTTGTACACAAACATGAGCCGAGGTCGTCCACTTGAAGCTAGCGAGGACGAGATCTGGGTAATTCACGTCTTGCGCGCAGGGGTCTCACACGGCAGATGATGCTTGAAACCTTTGTAATTACGTGATGGGTTGTTGATTGGTTAAGTGCTTCTCATTTATCCTCTACATGTTAGCATGGCTCAGCTGCCGGGGAGAAGCGTTGACAGGCGAGCAGCGAGTGGCTCATTATGCCTCTGCGCGTTGTGTGTGCAGCATATTGGGTCTGGTGACAGGAAGGCGCGTCCCACATGGCGTGTGACAGAGACGGGCACAGTGGTTGGCTGAGCGGGACTCGGCAGTGAGTCTCTCACGCGGTGCCAGGTGCTAACAGGTGAACACAGAGATATTGTTGCTGCATTGTAGCGGTGTGGTTACGGAGGGGCACAAAGGGAACCGGACACCCTCTCTGGAGCTGGAGTGAGCCAGAGGTTGGGGGTGAGACTCAGTGACAGCGCTGACAGGCAGGGTGTGGGGGGGGGCTAACTCAGATGGTAGCCCGCACTCGGCGGTGATAACAACGGCGAGGAGGAGGAGGATGATGATGTCGTTGGGGAATGATCCACTCACAGAGGCTAGTAGTCAAATGATCATTCGGCCCTTATTGTCCGGCCATGATAGCAGATGTAGGCGTCGCAAATTGTCAGAGTGATGACAGAAGAGGAGCGGGACACATCACGTGACCGACAGAGCAGAGAAACTTGACACACACCCCCGTTGACCATGCAGTGACTTGATATTAGAGAAGCTTAGCGTAACTTACTGATAAGTCTCTGATGAATATGAGCAGCGTTCTTGGTTCAACGACCGAGACTGATGCTTCAGATTAGTGCTATTCTGTGCCAGGAGAATGTCCCCCCGCATTAATGTAATTACTTTGGCCAACTTCAAGCACAAAGACAACCGAACACACGGTACATCTGCCATGTTTATGTCTCCAAATTTGAAAATTGAAAGAATTAGCAGATGGAGCCCAGCCCACACCGCCCCGGGGGGGGAGGGGGGGGGGTTGCTGTGGGCCCAGTGGACGCCGAGGATGGAGCGCTGATTTGGGTCAAGCTGTTTGTGACAGCTGTTGCTGATTGGCTTTTTTTGCAAATTAGGTTAAACATTTCACCACGGTATCACAATTGACTTCTCTGAAACCACTCAAGTAATGGCAGCTGCACTGCAACATGCTGGGACAATTTCAACTGTGACAAATCACACAGCAGCACCTGTTGGGAGATGAATGGTCCACACAGGCACTCGGTTGATGAACAAAGAAGTCCACTTGTTTAATTTTAAGTTAAAGATCATTGAGTTAAGAAATAAAATAGACCTGAATGAGAAGTTAACTGATACACCCTGGTACAATATATTGTAATAATAGCTTTAAAATGGGCTACACTGTAGAAAACGTCTGAAAGGTTCTAATTTTAGTTGCACATGTTAAATATATAGAGAATTTATACTTATCTATTTTCCATCGTGTCTATTGGCCCAAAGAATAATAGAATAATGAAGTGCAACCGTTTGACATTTTGGGGAAATAAATGCACTTATTAGCTTTCTAGCCAAAAGCCTGTTAGCTTAGCTTAGCACACAGACTCAAAACGAAAGCTACCATGGGTTATTAGTTCTTCTTTTCAGTCAACATCCTATGCAAAGCTAAGCTAACACCTCCTGGCTGTAGCTTCACATGTACAGTGCCACCATCTATGATCTCATATCAAGATAGTGAATACACATATTTCCCAGTATTTCTTTCTCGACACAACAGTTCAATGTTGGACACTTCTGAATTTTTATAAATCTCGATCTA